TAAGGAAATTTTATTGATGAGCCGTGCTTGATTATCACATCAAGTTCATGAAGTTCTTCTTTTATATAATACATACATATTGACTGTTTAATTTTAAGAAATAACACTGAACTGTGTCTATAGTGTCAAAGTGTATTAGTTGTCATGGCAACAATTATTAGACAGGCAGTGCTTGAATTGTTGGCTATACTTAAGTCTTTCGCCATGGAAACAGATGGTTTATGAATCATAATTTCCAAGATCAGCCAACAATATTTGCTTTCTAAATTGTAGTCTTACTGGTAAAAAAACTATAATTTGTTCAACATAAAGAAAAAATGCTTTTAAAACTGGAAAAACATAGTCCCAAAATTCTACAATAATAATTGACAATTATACAAATATAGTTTTAATTATGCCTTTAGATGAAACTACAAACAAAATTAAGTTTTAAAATAAGGTTATCTACCTTGATATGGCAGTTAGTGGAGCATGATGTGTATACGGACTATAAGGAACTGCGTAGTGATACGGATGATACGGTGTCTTTCGCAGCGCTTGCATCAAATTTGGACGATACTCTGGATCAACACACCATAACGATCCCTTCCCTAATGTCTAAAAAAAAAATGAAAATTAAGTTATTATAAACTCTTGTAAATCAATTCAATTCAAATTTATATTCTCCAAAAACTCTTTCAATACATAAGTACCGAAAGGTCCACTCATTATCTCAGATAAGATAGTACAATACATACTTCAAGTATCGAAATGCACGCCATCGTGTCGGGATTCAATATTTCGACATTAATTATGTCATCAGGAATTAAAAATTTATACATATTTGCAAGCTTATATGCAAAAAAAAGTGTTTACCCAATGAAAAGATTACCTCTAGTATACATAACCCCTCATTTACGAACCCCGATTTTACGAATTCCCGAACGTAAAATCATGTCATTGTTGTCATAAAAAAGTTCCTATTTCATGTACAAAACACACGCGCGTCAAGAATTAATCGTTAGGCACAATCTCCACTACAATACAAAACGCAGATAGTGCGCTTTGAATACACCGACATTCAACACAGCACTCATACTTCATGTCTGCAACCGTGAGAAAACTCTGCTAAATGCGCAAGTTGTCGGCATATCCATAGGCGCATGATTTATTCAGTGGAAAATGTTCGTAAACAAACTTAAAAGTGAATAGCATTACGAAGATTGTCCACTGAATAAATCATGTGTGCCTTAGTCCTAACTCTTACGTAATAGAAAAGACAAAATAATCTTCGTAATTAACCCACCTACCAAATTTATTTTAACCAATGATATTCGAATAAATTTCACACGAGAAATTACTGTATAGCATATAGGCCTACAGCCGCGTTTAGGCTCGATTTATAATTTTAATTAAAATGTGGATTTTATTTGTCAAATCTCACTAACGTTAAGCTACTAACATTTCATTATTTCCCTCATAAAATAAAACACTAGCACCCACATTTTCTTTTTAACTTCAATATTCATTACATAAATGTTAATGTAGGCGTAGAACAATCATATTGCATACAAAAAAAAATAAAGTCCAAGCGCCGTGTCTACAGCCAATCAGCACTCTTCTTTTAATAAGTGAACCCCTGGTTCCGGGTTATTCTGTACAGGTATTTACTCTTGATGCCACAAGCACATAGATTGAGTAAAAAACGCTGTTGCGTTACTCGCCCTGTTGCGCCGCCCGCGGGGCTGTGTTTCTTCGTAAGCTAGAAGTCATATAGGCCTATTAATAAATTTTGTATACACATTAACAAGTATGTATAGTACAGTACTGAACATTTATGATCGTTATTTTGAATTTCTTTCGAGCGCAAGTTGGAGTTTTGGCTCCAATCCAACACAATTCCAGTCCAGGCCTAGCCCAGCCTAGCATATCGGTAGTGGAAATACATAGCAATTTTAAACAAAACCCCGTTTCGTACGTAAATGAAGGGTTCTACTGTACTGTATCTGGAGTCTATAATTAATTACATTTTTAAAAATTATTATATCAATAACTAATACCAAATCTAAAGTTTATTATCAATTGTTAAGTTTAAATATATGATATATGAAAGAGAACTCAATATTGCAATTAACTTAGGCATAAAATTTTAACTATAGCTTAGCTTTGATGTTCTAATTTGCAATCAGAAGATACTGTGAAATAATGTCATGTTTCCCACAATCCACTTCATAAAGACTTGATTGCAGAGTATCCTGGATCCAAAGGATTACCTGTGCCCATTTCACTCTTGTTAAATTACTATGCAAGTGTCATGTAGTTAGACTACATGGAGTATTTATCATTAAAAAAAGTTTGGATTTAAAAACAAAACATGGTTTCCTGAATAAAATATTCATTAAATATTAGATATACTTTTTTGTCTTGATTACTATGGATTTGTTGGCAAATTTACTTGACAAAATCTAATATTTAAAGTTGGCATTGCTCAAGCTACAATACACAATAAAAAATACACATATTCCTATGATACACTAGATGAAATGAAAACAGAGAGGTCATCTTCTTAGTTCTCAGTTCAAGTAATCAGAGATAAGACACTTGAGTTGACATGGTTTACTTTTAATCCCTTGTAATCAGACAAGGCCAAAAAAAAAAACTAAATTTATGTACATATAAAGTCATCTGAAGATGCCATGTAATCACCATGGCAACAGCTGATACACACATCACCATGGCAACAAACAACAGTGCTGGCATGTTGGTAGTCACATGACCTAGAATTCCTAGCCAGCAAATGCCTTCATCTTATGATCAGAAATTCCAGAGCCATCTAATAGCAGGCAAGCTGTCTTCAAATAAATGAATCCACACTAGTTACCCTCATCAAACTAATTCTGGAGTCAAATTTACATAAAATTATCACTCTTATGAATATTCACTTAAGAAATAGTATTTTCTAACATAGCGTTAATACTATAGCACAGACCTTCTCATAAAAATTCTTAAAATGTTTCACTCAGATATTACTGATTATAATTTGATTTGCTGCCAAAATAAATTCAGAGATGATAAATTCCAGATGAGTTAAATCTATATACTAGAATTACCAAGCACATACACAAAAGGCTATGGTTTAAATTGTCTTGGGAGTGTAAATATATGTTTCTACTACCTCTAAACAATTATAATTCTAAGCTTAAAAATCTATCAATGACTAGGGCCCTATAATAATAATAAATAATAAATATCATGCTAATTAATCACTATCCTGTTAATTATTCAAGAGAACTATCATTAACACATTTGTAAACAAACATGATACTTCAAAAAAGTTAGAGCATAAGATTACATAAACATAAAACTATTCTATTCCATCTTTATACATTATAAATCTACTAAGAAGATTAATTAAGATGAAAATCTTTTCTCCTCTGACGAAATTACCTCGTCCATTAAGTCAGTAATTTAATTAAGACCAATAAATAATTTCCCCCCTCCTACTTCAGGTATTAAGCTACAGTTGTACCACTTCCCCTAGCAGCATTTAATTATAAACTAAGAAATACAGTAATAATGAGTTTTCATTTGATATTTGTAAACTATCCCCCCGAAATAATCGAAATCACAAATCCTGACATGCTGTAAATCATTTAGAGTAACATTACCACATTTTAATATAAGTTGTTGAAATGTTCTGGTGCTAAAAGCAATCGATGCTTCGCATGTGCTAACAACAGGACGGAATATTAATTGTGCTTCATATTCAAAATGCAATATATGAAAGCATTCTGTCTGATGTAATTTTGTCATTTATAAAAATAAAAAATTACACTTTTATATAAGTAATACTGAATGGTTTTCATAGGTTAATGGAAGTGTAATGGAATGAGAAAGCCAATTTTATTAGACCTTGGTATTTTAGTTGTTTACTAGAAACCTCCTTTAATGTTACCAAATTGATGTCAAATTAATAAATTGAATACTGTAGATGGATTCTCTGTTTCTTGTCACATTGAACAGAAACTGGTGATATTGCAAAGTGTTGAACTGCAAATCTCAGTAAAATTGCTATTTTATTTCTTTTCAACAAGGTCCTATAGGCCAGACCTTTTATATACTTTGTAGACGACTCCTGTGTTAGCTGGGTTGATGGATAATTATAACTGAAATTATTTATTACATAAGCTTTCTCTTCTGGGTGCACCGAAGAGATCTAAAATTGTCAGAGTAAGGCGAAAAGAACAAAAATAGGATTTTGTTTCCTCATTTAGAAAAATGGACCTGCCAAAAGCATACATGCGATGAGAGAATAAAAATAACAATTTATTGAAGAATAAGAAATACAGAGGGCACCCTTAGACCTTCGCTGGAGATCTTATTGCATGATTTTATAAACGTTATTCTGGATGTAAACAGTTCAGAAATAGAACTGATAAATGTTTTATATTTAATCAACTGTGATTAAAGTAAAAATGCCTATTTGGGGATATCTTGGCAGCAGCGAGTATTATAAAAATACTATATATATTCTGAAATTGATTTTTTTTTTCTTTTGTGGAAATAGACTATGTATGTGCACAAACAGGAACAAATTAATTACGTTCGCATTTGAATTCATTATTTTCGGAACCGTTAGATCCACCAACAAAGTATAGAAATCTCACTGTACATTTATGATATTTTAATAACTTTCTGACTTCCAATTTTAGTCAAAAAAGTGGAAAAATTCCTCAACTGTAATTAGATTTTCAATCACTTGCTCAGTTACTTTTTCAGAAAGATCACTGTGTTTAGTTGCAAAAATAAACAACGCTGATCTCTACTTGAGAATCACATAAACACATCAAACAATATTTACACAATAACTGTGTTATATATTTTTCACTTTTTTTTTCCCGTATGGTTTCAAGGGAATACTGAACTACAGTGATATTGTCCCAAAATTTTGACAATGAATGGGCGGCCAAATAAAGGCCGATGGTTTGTTGCAAGTTGAGCTAAATGCCGTGCTACCACGGAAGGGAACTTGAAGTACAAATCAAAGAAATGTTTTATTATTTAATATATATATATTTGCAGTCTGAATGTAGAACTGTTTGATCGTTAGTAATTTTACAGCACCCGTAGCTATGAATATATACGTAATCTAAACTTAACTCAAAACAGTTTAATCTCCATCTGTTAACTAAATCTGAATGATGTTACATTTAAAAAAAAGCTATTAAAACCCACAATCATATCTCCAACGCAAATCTAATAAGCTTGCTTATTTGGTTGCCATGGCATTTAGTGTCCCATCTCCATGACGATAAAGCAGAAGACCAAGCATAACAATTGCCGAAGAAATTCTCAATCAGATTACCATCAGGATTCTTGAGAAAAATGCGACAGAAAACATTGTATGAATTTGAATAGTAATGGATTAACAAGACAGATAGACATTGCAGGCAATTTTAAAATACAATAAATTAAGATTCAATATCACTGGCGAGTGGGAAAACAATTTAATCTGAAGATGAATGTTGTACAAACCAAAAAAGAAACTTTAAAATGGAAGAAAAGTATTTGTTAAGTCTGTGTATCAAATATTTTGATGATAGGAAGAAATATACATATTCCCTTACATTTAAAGTGTTTATAAGAGTTTTTTGTATAATTATCAAAGAAAATGTTCCTCAGAACATACATTAACAATTAATTTAAATAAATGAAGGTGTTAAAAACATTCAATATAACCAGTGTAGTACTTTACTGCTTTTGTTATGTTCTAGGAAAAGTCCACTTGTGAAGAGAACATTGCTTTGATTATAACACTTGTATAAAAGAAATTCAATACAGTTTTGATCAATTGAGTGGCTTCACTTTCTGAGAGGCCAAATAAAGGTGTTTAGAATTCAATACAACTGCAGCAAATCTTTAAAAAAAAAATCTTGAATTTGCATCAAATTAAAGCATTCAACTACAATGTCATGACAACTTTTGTTGAAGTTTTGTAACCAAAGTTCACAACTCTAGGGCATGTTTTCCATAGTTCATGGATCTAATACAGGCAAAGAAAACATCATGGGTAAACAAAAAAAGTTAAATTTATACTTACTGTACTTCCTTTTTTAATTCTACAGTATACCAAAAACCTCGAATGGGCTTCTCAAGAAGAAGCCCATCTCGAATTTAAAGTCCACCTCTTCATTTTGCAAAATTAGCCTCGAGCCCATGGGCTTCTTTTTAAGATAGCGTAGACTTCTTTTCCAGATAGTACAGTATATACACTGTACATGAATTTTACAAGAAACAAAATAAAATTGGTTTATACAGTAGTTTAGGTGATTTAATGCGACAAGAAGCCAATCTCAAAAAGAAGCCCATCCGAAGTTCGTAAAAAAAAAAAAAAAAACAAAGATGCCCAGAGCTTCAATTCGAGGTTTTTACAGTATTTCAAATGCAATAAAATATAATGGGTTACGGGATAAATTAATGAAGATCTGTCAAATGAAATTCAGTAGTACTCACTAAATAATAAATTTATGTGAATAATCTTTTACCCAACCGGACATGTTATTGAACTGAATTTTTAATACGTCCCAAACTACTTATGAAAAAGCATGTATTATTACAACACAAATTCAAAAAAACCATGATGGAAACATTTTTATCCTCTCATTTCATGTTTGAATGTCTGTGCCTCGATTTTTGTACCTAACATATTCCAACACTTTCCTACTATGTTTCTTTTTTATGACCTATTTAATATTCATATAATTAAAGGAAAAACAAATTTAATAATTTGGCAATTTTTTATTTAAACTATTTTTTAACTATAGATTAAAATAATATGAGGTTAAAAAAAAAGTTTCATCAATTAAAGGAAAACAAATTTAATAATTTTGAAATATTTTATTTAAATTACTTTTTAACTTAGTCAATTAAGAGACAACTCTAAAAGAAAAATTACTTTTCTATTCTATAATTAAGAAATTACAGTATAGTATCTTTGAATAAGTTCAACTTGGGCCATCAAACCAAACTATAGTGATAATAACCAGGCGTTTATTTACAGCCAATAAAACCGACACCAACCTAACAACTATCATTTACAAGCAACTGCAAGATCAATTACCATGGCAACTGTGAGTAACCATGGAAACTGACTCATTTGCCAGCTACGTCAATAGTAACAGTGTGTTAAGCAACTTGGGAGTTGAAGTGGGTGTTGGTAAAATTGTAAAGCATCCTCTATTACAAATATTACTGAATTTAGTTCATAAATACAATTATAAAACACCTCCACTAATTCATTGTACTTGCTGTAATTAATGTCACATTGCAATCTATTGCCAGATGCGTACGTACAGCCGACAGACCTCGAATCATAATATTCCAGAAAATGTTGTCACCCGCCCAAGGAAATAACATCAGGAGTGCTTAAAAGAGGCTCCAGAAATTACTGAAATTACTCCTCTTTATTTTTACAACGATGAACTTGACCTTTTTTATTCAAGCAAGATAAAAAAAAACCTGTCGGCTAGTGGGTCCAGGTGAGAATAATCATCCCATTACTGGTAAGAGTGCAGAAGGCAAGATTGTCCTCATCAGACCCCCATGGTAAGGTTAAGGAAGGTGGCCTAGCAGTTAAGCATTTTTACTCGTTGAGGACGTTACATGTACAAAGAATTCCTTAATTATACTTCATAATATTGACATCCGACACCATTTTAAAATGTGGGCGTTTACAACAAAAACCTGTCTATCCTTTATAATAATAAAGAGCATAGAATTCCAATGCATTTAATAATTTAAACAGGAAATCGTTTCAAAACATAGTAGTCACACAATAGGGAAGAGTTCCCCATTTGGTTTGTTTACTGTAAAGTTTGTTTTTTTCATTTTTTAATTGAGAAACTAAAATTTGCACATAATATATCCCTAGAGAAAATAAGCTAATGATAAATCAGAACTATAGGATTGCAGCTTAAAATGCTAGCTTTATATATAGAAATATAAATACAGTAGATATATATTTATAATAGATATATACAAGTTAAGAGGACATCTGCAAATCAACTCAGTATGGAAACCAATGCTGCTAAAGAGAAGTAATATTTATAGCATTTTTTCTATTTTTTGACAAAAAGAATGCAGTCAGCCTGAATATAACTCATACTAGCTACTTTAATAATAGCAAGCCATAAAAACTGCCTCTATTTATTCTCTGACCTCGGTATCTTATTAAAGGTTAAATTCTGTATAGTAGCATCATTCATAATCATATAGATATATAATTTAAAATAGTAGTTTTAATGAATTGATTTGATCTAATCTACAGTTTTTATTAAACATTTTTTTTTTAAATGGAAAATATTTGAGATTTTTATTTTGGTGTGTAAATTATTTTAAAAAAACAAAAAAAACTTTTAAGCTCTGAAAAGTTCCTGCTGTAGCAAGCATGAAGATTTTGTGGACTATTTTTATGATGGAGATAAATGAATTAATGAAAAGTCTAACTCACCTGTCCTTTAACCTTTTCGACTTTCTTAAAACATTTGTTCAACGACAAGTTATGTCGCACAGAGTTTTTCCATCCGGTCGGAGCTGAATGAAAGTATGGAAAATGATCCAAAATCCACTGATAAATGTCTTTAACCGGAAGACGCTTTGTCGGAGAATCTTCTATTGCCATAAAAATTAAACAACTAAAGGAAAACGGAGGTTTGCTGTTCACTTGTTTGATTGGATCATTTGAATCGGAGGCATTATTGTTCGCTCGATTATTAATATTGTTTATGAGACCGCCATTTATATCGCAGTTTTCTTTGGACATGATTTCTTCATCGTCGTACTCATCATCATCTTCTAGGTTAATATCTTTGAGAAGATCTGCGCTGTGCAGCCAGGTAAGAGGTTTCAACTCGTCGTCATCAAGCGGTCCTTTCTCCGTACGGATCGCTCCGAAGCAACTGCTCGACAGATCCAGGTCTTCCATCTTCACGTCTTCAAATGCTTGCGTTAATGATTCACTCGGAAAACTACTGCTTAAATCGTACGATAACCTCCGTTTCCAATTTAATTCTTGCTTACGACTTGGTGGCATTTTCATTGGTTACAGCCTACAAATTGAAATTTAAAAAAATAAAATTATTCATAAATTGTCACTAGCATGTTTTAAACAAGAAATCAAAGTGTGTAATGAAAAAACTTACGCTATAGAATAAACCAAATTTACAATATTACAATGTTAACTTCCTAGTCTCCCAACTCAACAAGAGTCCTATTTAAACAATACATAGAGAAGAATAGCTTGTATGTACTAAAGTTTAACACTGCAGGTAAATTATCTGGAATCTTCAATCAGAGACAACAATTAGCAAAGCAATGAAAAAGTATCTCCAAATACAATTACACTGATGATATCAACATTAAAACCATGCTGAAACTTAAATGCTTACATACATGCTTAAACTCCTGGATCTCCATGCTAAATGCAGTCCAGAAACGTCCTATTTTGCAAATCACACATACAGTTTACTCTGCAACTACTCATTTACATATGAACACACTTTTTTGCTCAGAAGTAAAGAAATTTGAAAATTAACGCTAGAATGCTTTGAAAACCGTCAGTGAACCACGAGTGGTGGAACAGTGTTTTGGAAAACGTCTATAGGATTTGACACGGTGTCTGCATTGTTCTCGACTGAACCAGCACTAATATACTGAAATGCTTTACAGTTTCTTTTTGGTCATCCAACTGCAAAATATTGTGCTCAATAACAGACAAATAAAACCTTACACACGACACAGGAAACATATAAATCAAAAAATTCTTTAGGTAAAACTAAACTTATTGTCATCAAATTTACACAATACTGTAATAAAAGTATTTATATGCATATGGATACAAGTAGATAGTTAGTTGATTGAACAACACACAATCAATGGTTCTTTATTTTTTAACCAATATGAATATTTTGTACTTATAAATTATGCAAACAATAATATCTCATTTAAAATACATAAAACAAACACTAGTAATGGTATTTCCTAATTGGTCCAATGAAAACAATCTAGCATAAGTTATTTGTGGCACAGTATTGAGCCATAATTCCAAATTAATGACATAATATAATTTGTGCACTTAAGCTCAATATGTATTGAGGTCATATATATACAAGTAATTTGTCGGAATCGTATAACCACTCCGAATCGTAAGCCCGTACTTTGCCTAATGTCATTTGCCAGCCTCATTGGTTAAATGAAGTATTGACTGTCCAAGTTTGTGTTGTATGTCAGCTTACAGCCAATCCAATTATAGTGCACAAGATTCCAAGAGACAGTATCAAGCTTCCATGCACAATCAGCCAATAAATACAGTACCATGACTCAAAAAATCTCCATAGCAACAATGACTAAGTAAGCTTGGTTACTATAGTAACAGACTCAGAATCATGTTCAGTGTTGAAACTTGTAGGCCTCTAAGAAAGAGGGTAAGTTAGGTGTTAACACTTCTGCAACTATTTCTCTGTATTATTTCTATTATAAACAAATCATGTATTTGTTTTTTCGATTATACTGAGAATTATACCTTCTTATATTTTTTTTCTATCCAAATTCATTAGAATCTAATAATCAAAATTATTTTAGAATCTAATATGTTTCATTAGATCCAACTGTGTATATTGTATAATTGCTGACATTTTACTGTCCTTCACTTTAATTTAAAAAAAACTAACCAGAGTGCAAATTTTGCATGAATAATAATTTTTTAATGTTAAGTACTGAGTAGTAAATTAAGGGGAAAAAAAACAAATTAGAATCTAGATTTAATTAATTGATTTTAGTGAAAGTGAGACTGATCAATATATGCAGACAATTAAAAGAAACTCCAATCCGGGAGATTCTTAATAATGCAAGACACAAAATTTATGAATATTCATGATAAAGTAAATCCATTCAATAATGGCTTGCTCTCTCAAATTTTACAGCAATATTGAATGGATTTAAAACATCATTAAGAAATGCAGAATAATTAACTATAAATCCATAAATTATCAACTTCTTTAATAAAAAAAAAAAAAATTTTTAGGTTGATTTGAGAAATTTTTTTTTCCCCGAGACAGTATAATTCTTCGTCCAATCATTCACTCATTATTCAAACTATTAACAATTACTTCTGGTTATATATTCCACATTTCTATGGAAACTTGACACTGAATAATTACCGTGGAAATGGATACCATAGCAACAAATCTACCATATGGCCACTTTCCAACAGCAGAATCATTTTAGTTACAGATATGTAAAGCTATAGATAGCGTTTGGCATTGAGCAAGGGAGCTGATGAAAGAACACCTCCCTAGGGAAAATCTGTTTATCATCTAAACTCACATTATTCACAAAAAAATATAGAAAGTTCGTACATACAGTACATATTTCCCCCGAGCCCATTATATAAAAGCATTTTTGAACATGCTTGAATGCTTTTTAAAGCAATGAAGCTTGACCAACGGAGACATTTCGCCGGCCATCAGATTAATGGACGCCCAAACAATTGCAGTTTTATTTAAGCCCTCGATAAAAAAAAACAGAAAAAGCTAAATCTAGAAAACAACAGACCTACTTATTTGTAGAAAAACAAGACTGTGTCAAAGGGCAGATAATAGTGACATTAAGATTCTCTGATCTGTATCATACACATTAGAGCCAAATGCCTTATATTTTTGTATGGGTTTTTTTCTTATTTTAATTGCTTTGTACTTACATTTAAGTTTTAATATCACCATTTTTTTTACTGAAAAAAAGTGTAAATATTAATATGGTACTGTATCTTTAGAGCTTCTACTCTCAAGAGTCCTAGGTTCAAATCCTGTATAAACCAGAAATGTTTCCAACAAATTAACCTATATATAGACACTTCATGAGGTTTATAAAGTTTAATTTAGGTTACAATATAAATTTTATACTATATAGCACTGCCAAATTGGTTTGTGGCCAACAAAATGTCGTACACTACTATTGAACAAGTATAATATAATATTAAATGACATTATCAAGGATCAGCACTTTCTATGTACTTTTACTAAAAAAAAAGATCAAAACACAACAGTTAAACCTAGGCCTACCACTTACCTGAACATATTAAAAGGCTCATAAACCTTGCCAACCATTCCTCATAAGAACTTGTACATATTGAACTCTAACTATCAAGGATGCTTAGCTTTAAGATGGAAACAATACTAATATCATTTGCATATTTAGTCACATGATAATCAAACTGGTTGCTAATTGTTTTATCAATCATGAGCCCATTATCTTAAATAAATTAGCAAACAACTCAATAGCAATGTACAAAAACTCATTCCTCAAAGTACAAGGTACGGACTCCTTTGGTACAGTGTGGTAGTAGTAGTTATAATGCAAACTGAGTAACAGGTTACAAATAAAGTCTATCTTATTAATATAAAACAGTTTTTTTTGCTTATTATTCTTTGCAAATTGTTTATATCTCAAACATAAGCAACACCTCAATTACTGGAGCTAATGGGAAACCAGAGAAAGGGATTAAAAATGAGGCACGTCTCATTAAAATACCAAGTGCACTCTTGAAACAAACAACATAAAAGCCAAGGATAAGGCAATTTTATAATGAGCAAGTAATTTTTAATTGTAATTATAATTAATTTTTAGTAATTTTCATAATTATTGTAAACATAGCAATATTATAATTATAGAAATAATAATAATAATAATAATAATCTTTTTATATCTTGTGATTTTATTGTATTGATTATATTTTTGATGTTTATTGCAATTTTCGCCTGTATGTGGGAACGAAGAGTTCCTGTTGGACGGTTGTTAATAAAAAATAATAATAATAATAATAATAATATATTTAAAACATTCTTTAAATCAATTCACTTGAACAGTACAATACTGTAGTAGTAATAATGTACAGCAACATTCCAAAACAATGCAAATTTAGTATTAAAGAATACAGAGCAGTTTTTTTTTTACATCCTCGAACAGCAAGTAACTCACAAATTACTGGATGGAACATTAATTTATAAAATCAAGTCTCTATCAAAAGCCTTAGCAAGGGGAGATGTTTTTAGTCTAACTGTCACAAAAATTGAACCAAATACTCATGACATTATAATGAAAGCACTTTATCGAACAAGCTTTACAACTCCACTCAAAAAAACGTTTCTATCCTTATCTGTGTGTGTGTTAAATTACTATGTGACATTTGAATACATTAGGCAAAATTATTTTTGAAAAAAAAAAAAATTAAAAATGGCTAGTCTAGAGAAATATTACTAGACATCAGTAGACACATTTTTAAAATAAAATATTTTAAATATGTGCTATATTTTTAACAGTAAAGTTTTTGAAACATAGTTTCTTTTATTAAGGGTTGTACATTCAATATGAAGTACGTTCAATATCATAGGCTTGAACGCCTAAAAGCTGGTTTCAGCCTAGCATGCTCAAATTGCGAATGTGAACCTAGAACCTGTTATTCCAATGGCATTTTACATCAAGAGACATCATATTATGAATCGATATTTGCCATACCCAACTTATTATATAGCACTGAATGCTCAGTACGCTACCACTGCCCAGAATTTTAATTTTTATTTTTGTTATTGTATCTTTTTGTTACTGTTTTTGTAAATGTTGGTGAAATAAATACGTGAAATGAAATGCTTGCGAAAAAATCTTGCTACAGAAAACCAATGAAAACTTCTTTTCACACTTAACTGAACTAATCTGCCGTCCCAGGGAGGGGATATCTACACCCATGCACCTCCAGCCTACACCCCCCTCCCCTCCGATAGGGAGTCATACAATTGTCTGCGTAGTGACTATGGTAATCTTTAATTAAAAATAACCCTCAAAAATAAACTAAAAGAATTGAATTGCTTATAATCAGGTAAAAGAACAAATTAACAAGGATACAAAATAAAAAATATAATTATTTGCAGAGTTATACTATAAAACACCGGAAAATTGATTACTATGAAATATAACTTAAGGGTCAGATCCATGCAATAGGCAATATTATTAATGCACGGTTAAATTGACAAATAAAACAATTCTTGTTCGATTTTTCAATTGAAAATTGTAACTTGCAAATTAATTATTGGCAAATAACATATTTTCTATTCTCCTTAATAATTGAAAGCTATTAACGTATGCAAAGTATGCAACTCAAAAACGTGAATGACCTTTTGACGATATTTAGTTTAACTCTATTAGTATTATTATAACCTTTATTATTGTTGTTACTTTATGCACTGCACTTATGTATTCAATCAAATCAAAAAGTAAAATTTCACATGAAACATTTTGTAAAAATTGATGGATAAAATATTTTGTATCTTGGAAGTATCCAATTTTATTTTTCATGATTATTAATATTTGCTCAACACAAACACTATATATTTAATGTGCTTGCCTTCTATTACAGACAGATACTAAGTTCGATCAATAACAGATATAAAAATTTTTCACATAGATAAACAAAGCCTCCTTTAGAGCAAGATATTAAGGATACGCACATGAATTTATCTCATCTTTTTAATACCTATATCAATATTTGTTAATAACTTACTTGGGAGATTTCTATTAAGAGTCACCTGTTACTATTTATCTGTTAATTACTTTGTTTGATATTAATTATGATACAATATCTTAAGTATTATTATTGAAATAATCTAGGAGGAAAATCTGCTAACATCAGCACCTGTTTTATGGCAAATCAGCCTTAGGAATAAAAAGAATACAATATATAAAGAAATTGAAGAAAGGAGAATAAAAATGGGAAATAAAAGAAGAAAAATGAAAAAGGCCAATTTTTTAAAATGTAATTTATTTATCTAAGTCCACTAATTTTTATAAAGGAATGAGTTTGAAAAAGAACATCGGAAATCAGGCTGAGATGTTTATTTACATTTTTAAAATAAATACTGAAACATAGACATGGCTCAAATTCAATAGCATAAAGTATAAATATTGACAGACTACTAAAAGTCTGAATTAATTTCAGTTTTATTGATTAAATAATCTAGTCTGAACATCTGGGTAGGTGACAATTCTATAAATGAGCAGCATAACAACTAGTCATGAGGCCCCAGGCATGAAAATGTCCGAGGCCCCCTTTCGCGTCAGGAAAATATTTTGCTTCATATGGACTTCAAGGGCTGGAAAGACTGCTCTATATTTCTATGCTGGGTAGCAGTAAAAGCTCGGGCCTTTTTGGGCTGGGGTCCCACGGCTTCATCTATCCCCCCACCCCCCAAGAGCTAATTAGAGTTACCCCACTAAATTCTATGGCACTGGTACATTAGGAATGAGTAAATGATAGTGATGAGATCATGGAATAAAGGTTACAATTTAAATACCGTAACATTGCAGATGACGTGGACCTATAATCCTGAGGTCTAATATTCCAAATTCAATTTGGAATGAGTAAGTGGGGGGGGGGCAAACTTTGTGTTTATGCCTACAATCACAGTTGATGCTCCACATCAATAGATGATTATAATCTTGGGATTGTTTCCTGAAATTTTTGAAGTTGTCAAACTCGTTCGCAGGAGTACAGTACCTTAAGATAGAACCTTAAGATAGAAAATGGTAAGCTAAGAGAAAGAAATTATCAATCTTATTGGCTTTAGAAATAAAATAAAATTTTTCACAAATTTTTCAAATCATTTCTTATATATTTTAAAGTTGCCTTACATTGAAAAATAGATAATATATTTTGTAATGGAGTAAACAGAAATAACAGCAAAATTGATATCCATCAACTTCCCATTTTTTAACTTCATCAGTAATTTCTAACCTGTCTATCGTATAGTAGATTGCAGGCGATTTTAAGTGATTTGTGGACCCAATAATTTACTATATATCAAAGGTTTCTTAAGGCTGCAATTGCTGTACTACTAGGTAATTACAAATACAAAGGATTTCCTGACGATACAAATCTGTTTCAAGATTTCCACTAATCATTCTAACCATTTAACTCATTAGAAATTAATGAGTGAACTATGCGATTTCTAAGGGGATTAAGTGTTCCTTATGAAGCCATGTCTATTGTAATAGTTTAATCTAAATCTACTGAATAGCTGACGTATTATTAGTCAGAGAGCAAGACCAAGGAACAGAGAGGAAATTGCATCCGAGTAACTTTGAATAATTCCAATTTCAATCGATGATGCTTACTACCAAATCCCAATGGAATAAATTTAAACTCGCTGATGTACAACCTCTATCTTGTCAGTTTGAGCACCACGCGCAGCGGAAGTGCCGTCGTTCACGGAAACTGTACCCTCTGCAAACAGAGAGCATCTTGTGCAAAGAAAGATACACGATGTGTCCACATTACATTATTGACTTAATGTCTTTTTACACTGGATAGGCTCTTCGTAATTGCTTAAATCTCAAATTGACTAGAAACCATTCACACAGAATAAATAAAATTAAATGTTGATACAAAACATCCACTTCAAAACACATACTTCACACACACACACATCATCTGCCAAAAAAAAGAAGAAATACTCACATTAAAAAGAGCAATGCCATATTATTCCAAATTATGCATAGCATACATCAAGAACATTTAATATTAATGCAGCAAACAATACATATTCCACAACATGTAGAGAATACGGTGAACGTACAGCGATGATGAAGTAACTATGGTAGTGATAACACACTCAAACTGTTTCATCACTCTCTGCTGAACCTCCCGAATAACAATTAATTTGATTGGAGGAATTCTATCTGCCCAGCTGTCACATGGCACAGATGTCTTGTTTGTAACGATCTATATCATCTTTAGGGACTACCTCATAAGACAACTCTAATTAACTTTTAAGACTTACCATTTTGAAAACCATTTTGATATTCATTTCTGCAAGTCATATCTGAAAAAGAACTCGCTGGATCACAACCGCAGCGTAGAAATGGCCGGCAAATTACAGTTAGCAAACCACAAAGACAGGGAATTATTATTATATACCTGCAACTTTTTCAGAGTGCAGATCGGTTGCCAAGACAACAGGACATCATGGCTGCCAGCAAGTTAATACTTAACATTTAAGAATACAGTATATTGGCTTACAGTATAAATGTTCAACGTATAATGAGAATACTCTCTATTATGTAGACAATGAAACTGTGTTTAATTCTAATAATAAATGCATATTACAAAACATATAATGAATATTTAATATTACTTAAATTTTCTTGATAAATAATTAAATGCATTGCTGAGTTTAATGGCTAACTCAACTTTCTTATAAGAATCTATGTCAAATATAGTTATGACACTTTATGTTGACTTTAAATTAAATTTATATTAAAGTATGTATGAATTGATAAGCATTTCAATAATAAGTAGGTTCTATTTATGACAAAATTTAACTTTAACCTAAGAGGCGATTGAAATGATACGTATCTATCTCGCTCATGATTATGGAACTAAATTTAAACGATAACACGAGGACTCACAGAGGCTTGGCTTAATAATTCACCCGGAGATAAAAGCATGATACATTTCTATACAGCTCATACTAATTAGTCACGGCAACAGTCGCTTCACTGTGAAATAGTATATAAACTACTGAAGCAAGAAATAAATAATAATTGTGTATTAATCAAAAGAGGAGTGGCTATGGCCTGAAATTTATGTGAACTAGAATGACATCATTATATGGGTCAGGGGTTTCTGTCGGGTTAGGGACACCCATTTAGGAATGTGGATTATAAACACAAGAAGAAGGTAAATCTTTTAACACAAATATCTAAGTCAAAAGCTCAATGTCGAATACGTCATGTAAGGAAATATCCTTGAGAAAAAATTTCTAACTTAAAAAAAAAAACACCCAATGAAGATATTTATTAACACCATTAAACTTCAAATAACCTATTATATTATCATACCTTTTACCTCTTTAATCTGAGACCTTAAATTTAAAAAAAAATAACAAGAGCATTGAATTTCTATCTCTATGTACTGTTGCTAAGTAATTGTCAAGGTAACCAAACAAAGGTTAACAAATGCCTTAAACAATGATTTCATCTCATTTGAAAGACCCAAAGGAAAATCTGTGTACTAAATCTGGCTAATCTCTATTATAGTATAAACTTAAAAGCTTTACCATCCTGACTTAAGATCTCTGATCTCTAGAACTTTATTAGAATATCAAAGACACAAGAAAAATAAGCTAAAAATTAAAAAAAGAAATAAAAATTAAATTCCATATTTGAATAGATGCCTAATTTGTATATTTAAGTAAGGCCAAGTAAAAAAAAAAGTAGTTTCTCGTCCGAATATTTTGAGAAAAAGAGAATGAGGGCATTCGTTTTTTTACTCCGAGATGGCAAATCCAAGATGGCCGATGGGAAACAGCTACTACTTTTTAACTTTTACCAAGTAGACACATTAAAAGCAAATAAAAGCACTAGATGATTCATATATGTATCCCCAAACACAAACGATCGAGAGGAACTGTACTAATGCGAGTTAGCCAGATTTTCATACCTTTGCGTAAATTATTTGGCCTAAGTTACTAACTTCAAATAAAAAATTTCAAAGAGAAAAATTTCCCTGTCAATTAAAAGACAATAAAAAAAATACCTTTTTATTTTCTTAATCTTGCATACACTTTTCAATCAACTGGCTGGTAATTAATGTATGACTAGGCCTACAATGTTTAGCTATTGTAGAATGCATGCATTCAGACATGCTACACGTCAGCAGCTAGGTGTGTCTATATGTGGGTGTGGAAGGCGAACCTCCAGAACAGATTTTTGTCCCACTTTACTGGACAAATACATACCATTCAAGTGGGTAAAATCACTTGAAATTCCTTCAGCTGCACCCTCACTTTCTAAATTCATGATTTATTATCTTATTTAAACTCAAGATAGATAGCAAAGGGAACAGGTCCCTTTAAAAAATACTCATCATCAGAAAAGTGAACAGGTACCTTTACAAAGTACCTATCAGAATAACATAGTAATTTAACAATAAATAAATAACACAAAATTCATTTTTATCTTTATTTATTTACTTGTTTATTTACCAAAACAACAGCTGACACTGATACGCCACTACAGCATGGTTAACAAGACAAAGACGGAGCAAAAGCAAGCAAAACACAGACATTATCACACCTAAAATGCTACGACAAAAATATGTAAAGTAGTAATATTGATACGTCATAGTCAAGTTCATAAAATAATTGGGAAAAAATATATATAAAAAAAGAAGAAAAAGAAAGTTAAATTAGCACGACATAAACAAGTAAATAAATAAATGATACAAACGGCTTAGGGACTGTGGTCGATAGCAATAAAATCGTGATCCTCCCTCCCCACTACCTACCATTTTAATACCCATAAAATTTCCTGTTTATACATGACATATAGGCATGTATGTGCACATTAGTTAAAACCAACTCAAAAGATTTCCTAACATAAATATATCCCTACTTAACGTCTTCAGGGAAAGAAAAAAAAATGATAGAAAATCTCAAAATCATCTACTACAAAGTATCTAATGCAACAAAATCCATCCATGTGAATATGTTTATCTGGTCGTCACGGAAACACAGCATGCAATTCTGGATGTCCTTGTGTTGTCACCTTTTCCTCATCTTTGGTTAGGCATCACCATCAACTGCATCGTGCAGCCCATGGGATTATTTCTGATGTAAATTATACATATCATTTACTATCGCGACTACTCTGTGCAAGAAATACTCTATGCATTTTAAGTCGCCAAGCCTCAACTAATTTATTAAATATGAAAATATGAAATAGAATATGCATATGAACACAAATTTGACGGACAATACATTTATGTGGTTACATCTTACTAAAGACTAAATCCATCACTGCAAGGTTTATGGAAAGTTACATAATTAATCTAAAATATTTGCATATCAAATGATTGATTCTATGAAAATGAGTACATGTGATCATATTTTTCCATCACTTTCATAAATGTACAAAACATACACTACAGGGAAGGAGCCAATAGTGTAAATATTCATTTATTAAAATCAATATATTATAAAATATTATAATATAAAAAATATCATGTTAATATGAAAATAACACCATATTTTTATTCTGACTCGCAGGAAAATTAATATTTTGTTCTCATTTGAAATACGAAACCAAATATACATGACCTCAAACCGATATACTAAACATTTGATGTTATCAGTTTTATACATACTGTAATGTTGTTTTTAAAAATATATATATATAGTCCCGATTGAGACAGAAAAGTAGAAAAGTTATTCCCAAGTTGACCTAATATTAAAGGTCAAAACACTGAGAATTAATGCATCTCTCTCATTTTTTGGAGTTGCTTTTATAATAAATCATGTACATTGCATAGTAGGTTCCACTGCAATTTATATATTTGTATTTTAATTCCAAATCAATTAACAGAAATAAAAAACTTCTAATTTTAAGTGAAAATACCTATATATAGAAACACTAACGATTGCCCACATTAAACTAGGCACCCAGTTAAAACATGACAGTAATGCAAGAAAACTGAATAACAAATACTATACTAATTATAGTCATATGGTTAATTTAACCCAAAATTTACAAACACTATCTCTGACTGCCATCAAAATATAGAAAACATTAATTGCTCATCCAGAACACCCACAAAAGATTTTAAAAATATACTTATTCAATGTTTTACTAGACATTTTACAATAAAAATATTTAAACTTCGTGCCATAAACATAAGGGTCTAATGTATTATTTGAAACATTCATTTCTCGATATACTTTTCAGCTGAATGTTTATAGGTTATTATTGATAAAAATCTATTAAAATATAACTTTAAAGTATAAATTTGATCTATAAAATGTCAAAAAATACATCAATACAAAACAGTGACACATAGTGTTTTTATATACTAAGTATAATAAATGCTTAAATAAATCTCTGCACAAAATAACCAAAAGTTGGATTTAAAATCACTATGTTGCGTACGCTAAGACATTTTTAAGTTATTGTAAATATGCAAATGAATAAAAGTCAAAATACTATCCAATTTTGTAAGAGAAACATAAATAATTAAAAATTTAAATTTACACTTCTTTTTATAACCAACACATTTCGTAAGAACACCGAGTATGAAATTGCTTAAAATTTAAAATTAAGAACAAATTATTGAGGCTGAGGTAATATGTCAAATGAGGTTTTTATTTATATTTTTTTTTTTAAATAGAAAAACCAAAAAAATCTTATCTGTAACTTATTTGCAGTTGGTGTGACAATGTAATACCCTCTATAATATAGTACAGTAATAACAGCTGTACTGCATAATCCTTTTTTTAATGTTTTAAAAGTGTTTAAAAACAAGACCAAAATAAGATCGTTTTTAAGCCTGAATCAACATATACTACTCAGCCTCCACTGGGACTCGAACCCGGGACCTTTCACATACATGGCAAACTTCATAACTATTTAAGCATTCGGTA